TTAATAATTAAATTATAATTGATAATCACTGGCCCTTTAATTACCCTCCTGCCTGCATTTACTACACAAGAGGTTGTGAAACCAAACGGACCGAAGAGCAACGTTAACCAAAGCACATTTCTGATTTTTTACCATATTGTGTAATGATCCTCCAGAATTGCCAAAGCTTCCTGTTCTCTGAAGAACTTCAGTCTTTGGTTTACCAGTGCAACATCCACCCTTCTTACTTTGTATCCTATTGTTAAAAAGCTTCCCTGTCCGACCATCCAGGAGCCAGTCCAGCAGTCCCTCTCGCACCACCGGAGCTGGGACTGAGGCCCCTCCGCAGCTGCACAGCCCACACTCAGACACACCAGGCTTCCTTACCTCAGGCACACCCAGCGTCCCCATGGCAGTCCCAGACCTCCTGTTCCCGAGAAACATTTAATCATCGTGCAATAACTAAGTAACAAAAGTAACAGCTGGAGCTGGTGCCTCCCGAGAGGGACCCCGAAGAAGGGAGCGCCAGGTCTTTTATCCCCTCACAGGCCAAAGGCGGGAAGGCCTGGGGGCCGTGGGCTCCTGCCGTGTCCCCCAGCGTCCAGTCCCCGGCTGTGCCACAGGTCAAGGGCCCTTTGTGCTGCCAAGTGCCGGCAGTCCAGGCCCTTTTCCTGGGGCTTGGGCTCACCCAGAGCTCCCTGCACTGAATGAATTCCTCAGCAAACCTTTGGAGCAACTCACATCATGCTGGACCTTGAGTGGTGACCTCCGGTTTACTGATGGTTATTTGTTCTTGCTCAAATGTTTCAGCACATTCCAGCAACCCTTCTGGCTTTAACAGGAAAAAAAAACTAAACCAAGCCAAAAAGCAGCCCTTACCTGTGCAGACAATAATCCCTGAAATACACGTGCACAATCCAAAAGCTATCACTTCAGATTGCCACAAGCTATATTTTACTGTGAAAGTAATCTTTTTTCCCAGATTGTTCTGGGGTTTGCTTGTGGTTTGGTTTTGAAACTTACGAATGAGGCCTACAGATTTCTAAAGTTCCGTCACCCCTTCGTGGTATTCCAGAAGTATATCCCTTTTCTTTCTGCTATCGGAAAGTTGGCATAAATGGAAACACTTGCTGCTGGCTAAGAAAAAAAAAATTGAATTCTTATTACTATTCAGAAAATTCTGACCCACCCCTGGCTTACTGCTAATCCCAAGGGTCCCTACAAAATACTGGATAACAGGAGTTATACTCACAACTTTCTGCTGTAGTTTATTCCACAGCAGCTGAAATTTTCTAGTGCTTGTTGCAGTGCCTTAATGATTTAATAAGACATTTTTAGGGACCTGTAACCCATTCCTACCTCAGATCCATAAGAAACCTAACATTTAGAATTTCTCTTAGAACTCTCTCACATTCTACCTAAAGTAGGAAAACTTTTGGCTGATAAACAATTATCCACACTCATTTGTTTCAACTTAGCAATGAATTTCTGGAAAAGAATCCATAACTACATAAGCAAGAATCAATGTTTTTTCCCCTTTTTGTCACAGCTATTGCTAACAACCAGGCAAAAAAATCCCAGGGATTAGTTTTTCATTATCCCAGCTGCTAAAAACTATCCAGTTTTCAAAAACCAGTGTTCTCCAGTACTGAACAGTTTTCACCCTCTACAATCACCACCTCTCTTTGGGTATGATTACAGAATTTCAATTTTGTTACCTTTTCTAATTGATTTGATCAGTTAAATAAGAGCCAGTACCAGAGCTCCTGTGGACTACTGACAGTGCTACACAGCAAGTAGCCCAGCTTTCATGACTGTTGAAAAGCTGAAACCCTAAAAAATGTCAGCATGCTGCCTGTGCTTCCAAGCTTTGCCTTTAGCTGTCCCCAATCTTCCAGCAAAAAAAAAAACCTTTAGTGCCAGCAAGCAGGCATTACTGAGTAGAAATACCCGTTCTTCTCTGCTAAGCACTAACATCAGCTTCTGCCAGAACTCAGAGAGATGGTAACTCTGGACCAGTGGGGGGACATCTTTATTCCCACTCTGCTTTATGACTCTTCTTCTTGTGACAGATCTTTTTTTTCTCAGCTCCAATATGTAAATGAACAGCTTCTCCTGAGATTTTCTCTCTGTTCCATTATTTGTTTTAAAAAGCATTCCCCTGCTTCTTCAAAATTAGTGTGAAGGAAACCTGTAACATCTTTTAGTATCGTAAGAACAGAATTCATAGCAAGCAATTGCCATCTTCCTTCCTGTAGCTGCTTTCAAACTAATTAAAAAATTAAAGGGGTGGGGGGAATAAAGGAATCTGGTGCAATGCTGGCAGAGAAGACACACATACTGACCCAAGTACAGTACAGGCCAGAAACTCTGATTGGCACCCTCACAACCCAGCTGAGTTTACAGCATTTGGCTCCTTGTCAATGTAAGGGTAACCCTGAAGTTCTCCTTTGCTACATCAGGACCTCAGAAACACGACTTTTGGATCTCTTGTAGCCATTCCAGTGGAGCGTTTTCCTTCCCTCTCATGTTTGCTCTTACTAGATGTGTCTTGTCTAATTCATACTTAAAAGTTGTTTCTCAATTCCATAGCAAATCCTTGATCCAGAATAGGTGTGCAATACTTAAATCTTTTCAAGCCACTGACCACCAACATCACCCAAAAATCTTCTTAATTCATGTGGAACTGAAATACATCAGGTTCCCAAGACACTAGACACTATTTGAGCAAGAACCATCTGAAATCTCCATACCAGTTGTCTATAGTATCAATACAGAAAAAGTCTTGTAAAAATTAAACACTTACCTTTATTCTCTGATTCCACAAATAAGCAGAATCTTTTTCCCCAAAAGTGATTTGTCAACCCCCTCAGCCCTTTCTTTCCAGAATGCCCAAATTTTGTAGAAAATCTGCTCCTGGGAGCTGCTAGTCACCTCTTCCATGAATCTTCCCAACTGCTTGGAGCCACAACAGCCTGGTTTTCAAACAATGAGACTTTTGGAGTTTGTTGCCTCTACAAAGTCTCTGTCATTTCTGAGTCATTTGAGGACAATTTCTAAGAACTGCACTAATTTCTTCATGGACAGCCTACAGCTCTTGAGTGAGGTTTGTCAATTCTATACTTGTGAAACCTTCCCCTACTTGTTCTCAGTTCTACACGCCGTTTCTGCTGAAAAGAGAAAATTACAATGAAGCTGCATATTTATTTCAGAATTTCTACTTGAAGCTTGAATACAGTAGCAACTTCTTTGCTCATACTCCCAAACTTCTTTCCAGAAAGAAATCAACACAAAACCCCCTTCCTTTTGGCTTCTCTGAGAGCCACATCACCAGTGTTTTTATTGCCGTCTGTTCCTTTCTAACACCTCCACTTCCACCAAATAAAAATCAGCCTCTGGCACAGCTCAATCCATACAGCTCAGCTTCTTTCAGCATCTCACGTGGACAGTGTTCTCACAAGAAACTCAGTTATTTTACTTCAAAAAAGAACTGCTTTTTATTTTATCTCGACTGAAAGGTAGTCATAGCACCATTTCCCATAAAAATCTACCCTGCCTCTGTATACCAGCACAGATGAGTGACTGATCAGTGACCAACAAAATCATTTTTCATTCATCTTTTTTCTAAGTACAAGTGAAAAATTGTTAAAGTACACTGAGTTTACCACCTTCAGTCTTAAAATCGTGGCACTGATTTTGCTGTGCAGTGTTCCCTGGGATAAGCACATGTGCAAACTTCAGCTTATTACCCTCCATGGCACTAACATGAAAGGAATACCAGAGAGCTTTCCTGATGTAAAGCTCAGATCAAGCAGCATCCAACCATTCACCTTCTGCATTGGTGGAATTCACTCCATCGATTCTCTATGCGAAGTTCAAGAAATATCCAGCTAATCCCTTCAGTGGCAATTAGATGTTGTCAAAAGTGGTCCCAACAAAGGCCTGGAGAGCACCCTGCCTCCACCCAGCTGGCACTGAGATCTAGTGTAACACTGGGTTGGCCTGTTAAGCTCAGCTCCAGAAAACTCTGATCATTGGACAGCATCCCATAGCTGCAGGAATGTAGAAATTGACAATAGGGAAAGCAGCACAAAGTAGAGTTACTGTTCTCATGCAGAGACCTTTTGTAACAAGCCTCACCCTAAAATAACACTTTGCAATCAATTATAATAGGTAATAATGTATATACAGAAAGAATCATAAATATTTAGAATGGGAAATACTAATAAAATATTGACCCAAATTCCATGATCAGCTATGTTCTAATATAGGATACAAACAGATTATAGGTATCACATTAAGAAACACAGAGAAAATTCAGAAGTGCAGCAGTTGCTACCTTATTAGCATAAAATTAAAGCAACTGAGTGCATAATTAACTCAAAACATTAAGAGATTCATCTTTAGAGCACAACAAATTCCTTAAATTAATGTATTTTAGGCAAATTTTTCCGTCACCCTGAAGACTTCTCTTCACTGCAGGTTAGTACTTTGAAGTTAGACAACACCAAGTACTATAAAAGCCAATACATGAACACAGCACAGAACAATAGCTGCAAAATGATACCAGCATTATTTCTATTCCAAGTTCCATTTAGGTCTATATTTAAGAATATAAGCAATCATAACTCTTGCATAAGATAACAAAAAATTAAGTATACATACAAAATATTAAACCATAACAGAGTGCTGCCAGTGTTGCCTGTGTTATACACAATAAGACAGGAAGATAATGCTTAGTACTACTGTAAGATATATTAAAGTTGATTCCAGCAATTGCACTATTTCATAATATAAGCAATTTCAGTCCCAAACTGGCAGAAATACAGTGAGTGCAACATTTCATCATCTTATTTCAAATGTACTATAGCATGATTATGTTTGTATTTTCACAGATAAAGCTGAAGAAATCAAGGGACACTAGGCTTTAAATCATCCATATGTAGAGTTTATTAAACTATTTTTAAAAGAAACAACGTAAACAAAATATTTTTTTCCATTATGAAGTTTCTTAAGCCTCATTACAGTATCTCTGCATAGAATTTATACTAATCTCAGTGGGTTTTGTGGGTCATTCACACCAGAAGTAAGAGACAAATGCTCTTATTATAGGAAAATGAGATGTAACCACAAAAATCACCCTTATTCACGAAATAATCACATCTATTTTTAGTTATTTTTAATTCATTGTATCAAGGATTTTTATATGAGCTCTTACAGTGTCCTGTCCTCGCTGTAACATAACAAATTTGGGGGGGGAGGGGGGGGGAGGAATTAATGAGACAGAGTAAGTATGAAAACCAGGCAAATTCCCAATACTGATGATGCCCCCCCATTTATTTCCCTCCTCTGGATCATTCTTGTTTCATCAACCTTTTTTTGTTTTCTTCATAATTAATAAGCCAAGGTATTCAAAAAGACCTTTTTTGGTCTTTTAATTAATTAAACCAAATTAAACCTCAATTTTGTCAAAAAAACACTTGATTATTCAAGTTGTCAGCTCTATCATTCAATTTCATTTTAGCCTGATCTTTAAAGGAAACACAGGCTTTCATTTTAGCCTGATTTTTAAAGGAAACTATGGTTATATGTTTGTGCTGTCTATACAGAAGCATGCATATTTACCACAAAGTTTTCCTACAACTTCTGAATTTAAGTAATTTCAATTAAAATGAGAGGTTAAGAACCTGAAAGAAACCAGGTACCTACAACTTTGATGAAAAAGGTAACAGGTGAAAAAATGCTATTCACACTTTAAAGATCCACACAAATAATAATCAATTTATGCACAATTAATACCAGGTACAGGGGAACCCACCTGGGAGAACACCATCAGGAAAGTATCTCCTGTAGGGAAGGCTTCATGTGTGCTATAGCTGAAAAACTAGCAAGGCCACAGGAAACAAGGCTTTACTGATCATGCTGTTAGAAGACACCATATCCACAAGAAAACGAGCTTCTAATTTGTTAAATCACCCTTAATTTGTGGATTTCTTCTTCCTTGCAACTGAATTGTCAGATTCCAATAGTTCCTTACACTTCACTAACTTTTTACACGCTGATGCATTTTTCCCCCTGCTTCTTGTTCTTCTCTATCTGTGCATTTTATTCTTCTGTGTCTGCTTCAGCTCCCTTGGAAGGCAGAACATGCACCACAGGACCCATTCTGATTACTTTTGTGCCCCAGAGGCTTGCAGGCTAGCTCATCTCTTTTTACTATGAATGCAAACAAACCATCAGTTAACAGACAGCTGCAACATCCTTTCAAAAGAACAGCCTTTAAAAATATTGTTTACTTGTCTGAACAGAAGACATCCTCCTACCCTTCAAAATAAGTTACTGATTGATAGGTAGGAAAAAGCATTTGCTTCAACAGAATAAGACTGACATCAGTTTTCATGTTCTCTGCTGTCTGAACTGTATCAAGCTGATCAGATTTGTAATTCTCCTGAAGCACATCAAGCCAAGCTATAAACTGTAGTCCTTTCCTACAGTGAATTTGTGGATTTGTCCAGTGTGAGCTAGTGAATAACAAATTCAACTATGGTAAAAATCCACTGTATGAACTGCATTTCCATCTCCTGAAACACAGCTTCTTACAACTTCCTTTGGCAGGAAGATGAACACAGATCAGAAGAGAGCTGCAACTTACCCAACTGTCATTTTCTTTTTACTTGGCTGTTGCAGAATGCCAGGTCCAGCCAAATAGCTGACCAAGAAGGCATCAGGTAAAAAAAATGAAAAAAATATATGGCTTTATATTCAAGTGCAACTGGCAGCCACTGACACCATAAATGGCTTTTCTAGTAGGGAGGAAAACCTCAGTAAGTCTGCATCTAATCTTGCAAGAAAGATGATCACAACAACTTAACACCGCAATTATTTTTGAAGTCACGTACATCTGGCCAAATCTTACAACATTTAGTTTTGCAGAGAGATTATGTTTTCTTATGCTATATGTGCATAGGCCTTTTCTTTAGTTTGATACTTGTCCCATCTGTCACACAGTATAAAGAGAGGCCTTCTGCAGTTTTTCCAAACTTTATACTTCATTGACATACGATTTTTCAACACTTATTTTACCTGAGAACTGCTCGATTATGGAAACTGTAATTTAAAATACATGTTATTTTAATATTTTAAAGATACTTCTGTTTTATTCTGCTTTGTAAAAGTAAGAATTCATCTTCAGATGCACTTAAAATGATAGAAAATTAGATTTCCTGCCTCTCAGGAAGCCATTTCAAAATAATATACAACAGATTTATAAAACCTGTTCAACCCAGTCTCTTTTCTGCTGAGCCTGAAGTACTATATGCAGTAAACATGAAAGACTCATTAAGAAAAACTTTGCTATTATCTCAGTAAATTAGTAATTAGTAAATTAGTAAATCTCAATAAATTAGTAAATCAGCACCAGTGTATGAAATAACATGCAACATATATATTTGAGACACTCTATATTAGGAAAATCATCAAATTCCTGAAAAGCTTCACAAGCTTTCAAACAATCTACAACCCTTTATGCATCTGGTATATCAAACAGTAAAACATAAAAATCTTCCTAGTCTGCTTCAGCTGCTTTTCTAGAATAGATAGAGGTATGATCTCATGGTCTGAGCATGAAATAGGAAATTAGATCTAACATAATGTTTTGCCAAACCATACTTTGTACTGGTCAAACACACAAATTGTACTGGTCTTTCCCCAGTACAATGGAAATAGATTAGTTTATACTGAATTGATCAAATCTGTTTAATTACAGATTACATGAGACATTTGGCTTCTGAAGAGAAGAGACTGAACTTTAGAGAACAGTAAAGTTCATGTTTAGCTACATGCTAAAGCCAATTGAAATGGCAAATGGCAGAGCTAGTTATTAAGAAACTCACGATTGCAAAATTTTTATTACTGGATAATTTATCTAGTCTTGTTAGAGAATGGTTTCAGATAAAATAGAAACAAAAGAACACACAGTAATCGTAATAAATAAGTATCTAATCCTCCCTAGGTAAACAGAACTTGCACAATTCATAAAATTATGCGTATAATTTGTAACACTATACAGATGTAAAACATAGACTACTGATAAAAAAAATTACAGGATGGCCAATTCCAGTGATTGATCCAAAAAATCCCAAATAAACGAACAAACAAAAACAACTTGTCAGGAACCCTGAAAGATGGAAGACTGAAGTCTGTATATATACTGCTCTAACAGTTTAATTGAATCAAGACATCTAAAGCTGCACAGACAGTAAAATCAGGTGAAGTGCAAAAAAGACATCTGTAAACTATCAAAGAAACTATTACAATTGGCTTTACCTCAGCTTTTTATCAATTTAAATCCTCCAAGTGGGTTTTTTTATAAATTTTAGAATGAAAACTAATATTCAAAGAGACACTTCTCAGTTTTTTTTCAGGCCCCAAGTGGCATGAGCTTTTTCTTCAAATCAACCATCGAGCATTTATAGTCAATTAAAGGGAGAATGAAAAATTAGCAAATGAACTCCTGAGGGATATTAAGTATATGCTGTCCTCACATATTCAAATGTGTGCTCGCTATGTTTTCTTATGGAAATATCTTCATACAGTCTTCCAAAGCAAAATTAATTATGCTTTCTAACAGGCCATTATCGACAAATTCAGCCATGAGAGAAACAGAACACTGAAAAACAGGAACTGTAAAACAGTCTGACTAGAAGACTATTTTTTTAAACATTATTTCTTCCCAATCTCATGCTTGCCATGCAATTATCGCAATCAACATCACACTGCTTTGAAAAAGTTATTAATACATAAATGTCAAAAAATATCAATTCTTAATGTATTAATTGCCTTCTTCTTGCAAGAGGATGACTACTACTGGTAATTTTTTCAGAAAAGCTTCAACATTGTTTTGCCACATTAGCCCTTTTATCTTCCATCAGCATCTACAGTCAACCACTGCTTTGGTCAAAGGTCCAGTGATATACTTTAATTTTATTTTAAGAGAGAAGGCACAAACTCAGAGAAAAGAGTTGTAAGTCCTGCAGTTTCAAATTCCTTTTGTAGCTCCTCCAGTGCCGAATATTCTTTGACTTCAAACATCTGAAACCTACATTGTAAAAGGGAAACTCATGAATATGCCTGGATTTGTCAGAATGTAATTATCGATTCTGTTACTTTTCTATCCACAACAGTACTAAATTATACCTTTTATGCTGTGACTGTACTTCTGTCTCACACAGTACTCTCATCATTTTCTCTTTGCATTTCTTTCCACTTGAGTCCACATCTACCTTAGAAGTTTTCTGAAGAATCAAGTACTCCTAAATGACAAAAAAAAAAAATTCCCAAAATATTAAATGCCACCTATGATTTTCAAAGTTTAGTAAAATGAAAAAGCTCACTCAAAATGTAGTCTTTTTCTTAGAACATAGCAATCAAATTTTGAAAGTACCCATCCCAGAAAGTGCACAACTGCTTCTATTCATCAGTTTTAAATTAAATAGGCCTAACTGATTAAGAGAACTTGAGTTAGAAAAGCCAAAACATTCTCACAAAACAGTGGAAGTTTTTACACACAGACAAGAATTCCAAAGCCCAGGCATGCACTAGGAGCACCATGTGGTTTTAAGTCAAGGAAAGAGAAAGCAATGTGTTAGAAATATATCTGTTATTAATTCCTCACCAAAATTTTTTCCACTTTCTGGGGTATTTGGGAAATTCAGGAAAGTGAATCTAGGCATATTAAGGTCAGGAAACAAAGGGATATGGGGTTATAAATCCAGTGGGGAGCAAAGCAATACAGGGCACAGGTCTACAGGTATCACTGTAGATGGAATAGAATGCTTTCTTTATTTTTAAATACAGAATAAAGTTGCTGGGTCTTCCTACTCTCATAATGATCAATTTGCTTCCAAAATTGTTAATCTTAGAAAAACACACACAAAATATTCAGACATGGAGGTTTCAGTGGTAAATCGATAGACCTAGTCAACATTCATTGTTCCTGCACCTTAATGCTGCTCCTATCACCCTGAAGAAGAATCAATATTATCTTGCCCATGAACATCAGTCTTCCAGTCAGCCTTAGATCTGAAGCCCATTTTTCCACAGTTTTCACATATTTTGCCTTTGCTCTCATGTGATCTAAATGCAAAAGGAGCATCCAGATACCATCTTCTTTTCCTTTTGACAAAGTAGTTTTTTCATTGCAAACTGCTGCTGGCTGCTTAATGACATCTTTAAGATGCTGCTGTACCCAAAGAATCAGATCGTGTACCATGGGCTCAGAAAGATGCTTCTTTGCTTGTTCAAGTAATTTCTCTTTCATATCCATACACTGGGCCCTTGTAAGCTGGTCTGAGTTAACAGAAATATCTGGCAGAGCTGATGGGTAATTGACTGGTAAATGAAATAACAGCTTTAAAAGTACATCTGTGTCCAGCAGTTCTTTCACACTGATTTGAATTCTAAATGAGATTCCATGTGTCTCTGGAAAATATAAAAAAAAAAAAATAATAAACATTAATAGTTTGCTTGAAGCTGAAATACATATATATCATTAAATCAGCTTATTTTCTTTAACAATTCAACTAAAATAACTGACATTTCCTATAAAATAAAAAAGGATTTTTTTTTTCTGCAGGCTGGGGGCTTGCAACCAATGGCTCAAACTATACCTGCCAGGAATCCTGAAATGAAACATTTCTGTACCATAGTAGAAGGAAAATTAACACATTCTAAAAAGCATTCACATCTTTTGGCTCTTCCAAAGTCTAGACAAGCCAATAATAAAGAATTGTCTCTCTCAAACACATAACTCAGCTTCCAAAGCTCAATAGCAAGGAAAAGCAAGGACAACTGAAAACAGACACTTTTCTGGACAGACTCAGCACTGCCCCAAGTTTTCTCCTAAAGAAATCTCTAAGACTTCTAACATCAATACTAATGTAAGAGAAATAGACTTGCACCAGGTATTTTTTAAGACAATCATTCAAAAGCAGTTTCACACTAAGCACAGACTTGGAAAGAAAGAAGTTAGATTCTTTGCCCCCTACCACTTGCAAAGAAAATACACTTAAATCTTTTCTGCCAGCTCCTCTATAACAATTAGACTGACATAAGGAAAACATCTCTGCTGGACACCTGACCCTAGATACTACATATATTAATATGCATCTACTCATATTAATGTAAGTTTATATATCTTCATATCTGCTCAAAATCTGTTATAGGTCTACTTAAGACTAGAATTATTTTCAGAGTGGAAAGGATACACTCAGTATGCAGCAGGAAAGGCTAAAGACCACATTATCCTGATAAATCATATAATCAAAGATGCTTAATATGTACAGTTACATAGTTATGTACAGTATTTCATGAAATAAAACTTTCTTAACTAGAAGGTTCATAGAAAAACAATACAAAACTTGACAAAGTGAAAAGTACAGACAAAGTCCTAACCTACTTTCACTCCTCTGCCATGAAGTAAGAGGGTATCAATCAGACAAAATATGATCTTCTTCAGATATTCTCTGCTTCACCTCTTTGATGCATTCTAAGAACTTCACCCCTTTTCTTTCAAAAATTGCTAAAATGTCAGGTTGAGTCACTCTATGAGGGCAGGAGAAGCCAGATTTGAAAGGCAGATGAGAGGAGAGCTGAGTTTCAGAGCAGGTCTTTTGAAGTGACTTGCACTCTTCCCCCCCACCTTACCTTACCTTCCTTCACATGACAGTCAGATGAATTACGTTTGATTAGTATTGCTGATGCCACTAACCAACCTCTCACAGTGCCTCTCACACGAAATGTATGATTTTATATTTGAAACCTACTAAAACAGTGAAATAACCTGAAAATTACTTGGACAGACAGAAGTACTTTAGAGAGCTTATCTGAGGGCTTGTTTCCAAACCTCCTTCCTGGGTCATACAAAGAACTCTCAAGGTCAGAGAAGTCACAAAATAAAATCAGAAAATCCTCCAAACCCAATAATCAAATTCTAGCAGTAGTATAAAGAAGTCTCCAAATATCTACAGACCACCACTACCTAAAAGTCAAATCCAATGGTGAAAGCAGCAGATGAAATTCCAGTGAATTCAACAAAATCACACCCAACCATGTCTGCATTTATAGGCACCACATGTCAAAAGAGTCGTTTCCTGCCAAGGAGTTTGTCTTCAATCGTCCAACACCCTATCAAAAGTTCCAGACTACTTTCAAGACAAATGTATTCCTCAGAAAAACATCAGCCTTGGAAGAGACCCTTGCACATAGTCAGTAGCTACAGAGGACCTCAAGTTTTCCCATTCCTAATCCCTGTCTTCTGCTACCCTGCCAAATGTTTTTTCCTGGGCCCCAGCAGCAGCTCCTCTGCCATTACACCGGGCTGAGCACACAATTGGAGACACAGGCAGAAAACCTGTCCTGCATGTCCTGGGGCCCCCAGCACCCTCCTGGCCACCACGGAGGTGTCTGCACACACAGCCATTGCACCAGACACAGCTGCTGCCCCATGTCCCTCTCAGGGCAGCCCCACCATGTACACAGCCACCTGGCATCTGGCTGAATGGGGTGAGCATTATTGTACTCCTGCCCATGAATCACTTTGTTTTAAACTATGTTGCCCAAGAGACTTTAAAATGCACAACCTATATAAACTGAAAAATACTACTCTATCACCAGCTTAATTACGGTGACAGAAAAACATGTTACCTTTCTGATAATCCTCCTAGGATTTTTTCACTAGCTTGTCACAACAGATCTCACCAACTCAGAAGTAACAGAGGCATAGACAGGCCAACCCGTGCCCCTTCGACAAGGGCCTCCTGCTGCAGTGATCTTATTCTTAAACCTGAAAAAATCTCACACCTTTCCCTGTGATGAACTAATCTGAAGGAAGCAGAACAGCCTCGCATCCCAAGGTGTATCACCCTGAGCCATCGGGAAAACCCCAGCCGTGCTCATTTACATCTGCTTCAGACTTACTATTAAAAAGAAGAATCAGTTCATAACGTTTGCAGGGCTACAGCATCTGAAGTTTATTTAAACCTTGCAGCATCCATTTTCTGCACCAGTGCTGCAGACACTGGCAGAACAAAGAGCAAACCACCGGCGCCCTGCGCAACCTGGCTCCAAAGAAATATTTCCTTTGTTTGCACATGCTACAAGGGCCGAGTTGTCTTCACAGCAACATGGTGATTATTTCTGAAATAAAAGGTTGGGTATGACTGTTCTGCTGGCATTTAATGTGCTAATCAGACTAAACTCAATACATTTTAACTCATTTTCCCCCATAGCTGCATGCTTATCAGTATATTTAGCTCTAGCATACTTCAGATTTTTTCTTATGTTCCATGTCAACCAGACAGATATCCCCCTCCTCTCCTGCCCAAAGGCATTTTATGCAACACATGCAGTCTATTTTTAAATTCAGAAAATGGCACCTACTAACGTACAAGCTTAGAATATCTAAATATATTTTTATAGCAAGCTTGGCGAACAGACCAAAAGAGGGCAGATTAACAATTAAATTATGGATTTCTATCTGTAACACTAATCTTTGCAAATAGATACGTAAGGTAAAAAAGATATGCTGTAATTAGTTTATTTAAATTCATCCACACATCGGTTTTGATAAAAACACATTTTACATGCTGAATACTTCATTGTTAAATTCCAAAAAGCCAAAGCTTTTACCATACCAAGAGACTTGTAAAAGCATTCTTACATTCCTCAAAACCATGAATCCCCAATGGCCTCCTTTTTGATCCCATGGATCTACACACAAATTACTCTTAATGTCTTAAGAGATTGCATAACACAACAGTTTTCCTGGAAGTTATGTCTGTGCACCCTTTGTCCATGACAATTTACATGGTTTGAAGAGATAAAGCAAATATAAGCTGTAACTGGAGCAAAAGTTAATTGTATACTGACTAGAGATTCTGCAGCTCCAACAAAGTAAGTTCCAAGAGTAAGAAAAATACCAGTAATCATTGTTGCAAAATAATCTTTTCAGTTCCAGCAGAAAACTATGTAAACCAATTAAATATACCTGATTGTACCACATCATGAGCACAGCCTGGTTAAAGGCCCTCCAAGATCACAAAACATCAATATAAGTAAAATAGCCTACTCCCATTGTGCACTTGTGGCACCTCACTTTATTTCCAGGAAGGTTTCTACACCTTATAGATTTTGATAACTTATAAACACAAGATCATTTTCCATATATGAAGCACAGAGAAGAATGTGCCTATATTTCTCAACATATTTGGAGGAACAGACGTGTATATGCAATGTTCAGATATGTTCACGTTTTTTAAAATTAACATCTGATAAGCCTGGATATTGCTTTTTCAAACTACGCCCAAAATAACATTCTTGAAATTTTTCACTTAAAAATAAAGCTCAGTTGAAACATTTCATCAATCATGTTTTAAAAATACAACCCTAAATACCAATTTAAAAAAATAAAATGGCAAAATTACATGCCTTCACTGGAGCAGAAGCTGTCTCATGCGTATCTAGATACAAAATTCTGGTTTTAGATTACTGTGGTTAACTGTGCTCCCTGCAGACACTAATGCCTTCATCCAACCTCTCCCCTCAAGCACAGTCACTTACAATAGGACAACTGCCCAGGACAATGTCCAGATATTCCGAGTATCTCCAGTGAGGAAGACTCCACAAGCTCTCCTGGCAGCCTCCAGCATGCAGCCACCCTCACAGTAAAAAGTTTCCTTATCAATCCCACTTCTTTAGGGCTGAACACAGACACGTGCAGACAAAATCTGACAGCAGGCCACCACATCCATCTTTAGCAGCATTCCCCAGAACGTCACTGCAGTCCAACAGCAGGAAGCTGCTCCCTGTCCACCACTCTGCTGGGGAGCTGGGCAGAACTCTTCAATAGCTCGCAGACACTGCGGACTTGTGGAACACAATACAGGCACACTGTGTGTAAATGTGCATGTGTATCTCTCTCAAACAAGTATCTTAGTTGTCATATCTGTGGTAGGCACTAAGCAAGATTTACTAATGGTTTGGATCTGAACAGACACCAGCACTTGCATATCCTACCTGACATTTAAGCCTGACAGAGCTTCTACTGCACACTGGAACTACTGAGATTTATTCTCCCTTGCTGAAGGCACTTCTTCACGGTACCGTACAGCACAGACTGATCAAAGCCATCTCTTAATACTATGTTCTGATCAGTGGCCACCACGGCCGGTGCAGAAGCCATGAAGACATCTACACTCCCTGCACTCCTTGCCTACAGCATCCAGCAGCTGATGGGAGCAAGTACTACAAACCTGATCATTCCACCCACGGCAAACACGACATATCAGCCTCAGTATCCTGTAAAACCTACAGCCCTACACATCTTGTGAAGCCGGAGAACATCTGGCATGTCACGGTTCCCAGGGTGTCAGCTTACCCCAGAAAAATACAGAGGTGACCTCTTCTCATGCACTGCACGAGCCGTACCCCTATTCAGTATTACCGGATAAACACCTGGTCTTGTTAACGCCTACAAGATTCACCTGCTTGTTTACCCAGAGAGCCAGCGCTGCCCCTCGCTCGCCCCCAGGGCACTGCGGGGACCCTAGCTAAAACCGAGCGGGGCCCGCCGGGCTCCGTACCCCACGCGAGGCCGGCAGCACACACACGCGGCGGGACAGGGACAGGCTACGAGCGGCAGCACCGAGCGACTGAGCCCGTTCTGCCCCGGGGCTGATCCCTGCCGTGAGCGGCCCCCGCAGCGCTTCCTCCCGGGGCTGGGCCGGGCCGGGCCGCGCGGGGCAGCGGGAGAGCCCGAGCAGGGGGCAGAGATCGCGGCCGCGTCACCTGAGGCCGCCAGCACTTCGCAGGCGCCCGGCTCGCAGTAGATGGCGGCGAGCGCCGACAGCTCCTCCCGCGCCAGCTCCGACATGGCCGCCGGCGCGCGCCGCCGCGCCCCCTGCCGGCAGCGGGACCTGCACCATGGCCGCCAGGGGGCGCCGCCGGCCCGGACCGCGCCGCAGGGAGGAGAACAAAATGGTCGCTCCGTGGGGCCCGCAGCCCGCGCCGTGGCCCCGTGCTCGGCCCCGGCCCGAGGAGCCCGCGCCGTGGCCCCGAGTCCGCCCGGCCCTGGCCCAGGATGTGGAGCGCCGTTCGATGGTGTGACACACAGGGAGGAAGAGCCGGCTCGGCCGCGGGCTGTACACTCGGTCGCAGCCGCACACACCCCTGCTCGAAGAGTTACTAGAATATAAAATAATGTTTCTTATAATCAGCTGCTGTGCTTCGCAATCTCTATTACCAGCCCTCAGACCGAGTTTGTACCACAAGAGTGCCCGAAAGATAGGCTGGAAATAAATCCCCACAGACCGGTGTCTATAGAGCAGGTATTTGTTAATTGCAGCACTGGAGGTGAGGGGGATATTTCCACCTAACTCAACCACCTTTGTCAAGTGCTGTGACAGTATAGTAAGTACAGTAAGTATTGCTTAGTATCACTATGTGATGACACCACACGCCTGAACTAATTCACATAGTATGATCTCATGGTTATTTGATAGTTATTTTGCACTGCATTTGCATCTCCCCAATTTGGGGGTCGTGGGGGTCTTTGATGAAGGCTTCTAAGGTCTTCTTCACGTCTGAACTTTCCAACTTTGTCTTTAGAGCACACGCAGTTACAGTGTTCCTTGGTCTATCTGCTCTTAACTGGCCTAAATTCGTTGTTTTGTGGCTCACTGGCTCTGCACTTGCCAATTTTTCATTAGCACTATACTTATCTACCTCTAAATCTATTCACCTGGCAAGTTTTTTCTTCTTTTTTTGTCTATCCAGCATTAAGCAACTAGTTAGCGATACACTAGCCATTACATTGTATAAAAAGTTATTTCTATCAGGTTATATAGGTATAAAAGTTATGATTCAGGTTACATAGGCATAAAAAGATTATACTGATATCTCATAACTCAAGCTATATAAGCACCTTGGAACTTTGATCTAAGTCATACAAGCATCAATTAACTCCCAGGTAAAATAATCCAGTATCTTCTATTATTACAAAATCCCTTTTAAAAGCAAGTGCTGGGGGTGGTTACTTTTCAGGAGAGTATATCCTGCTATTTCTAACCCCCTAACTTGTGTTGGAATAACAAGAACTATGAGGTGGCTGAGCAGGGGAGGAGGAAGATGCTGGGAGGGAGCAGCACAGCCAGGCTGCTGTCAGAATGAAGGCTGTGGTGGAAATTAGCCTTTGAAGTGCCTCCATTCTATTATTAAGAACTTCCTTGCCCCGGTCTTTCCCCCTTCTCCTCTGCCACTTTGCATATTCCATTTTACATGTTTAAATAAAAAAGTCGATGTAAATGTCTTTTGAATTGACACTATCACAAGACATGGAGGTCTCTATGAATAAGTTACTGCACTCTGACATTTGGAAGTCATCAAATGAGACAGTATAATGTCAGCTTGATATTTTTCACTCTATGAAAATATCAGCTTCATGTCAAAGATCTAAATTCCATCTTAATGTAATAAATTTTTGTGTATTCACAGACAACTGAAAATGCTAAATATTTAAATTTGAAATGAACATCTACAGTTACAATCTGGCCTTCACATTGCATTATTATGAAATTTTAAGTCAAGATCTTATTTCCCCTCTTTATTTCTTCAAGCACTGAAGTGTTTGATAGAATTTTAGCCTATTTTCTAAATGGAAACTTCCCCATCAACATGTGGCAAAGTTAAAAAAGAAAAGTCTTGCTTTTTCAGCCTATATTAAACCAGCTCCTATATTAAACATCCTGTCACAAAATGACTGTGCCACAAGTATCTTCCACTTTGCATGACAAGGCAAACAGAATGCAACCTTTCATACATAGGTTAGATTAATCTTCCAAGTGTTATTTGCAAAAGCAGTATCCTTTGCCTTCCACACACTACATAATTACAGCCTCAATTAGGTGTTGTTTCAACAACCACTAGTGAATATATATAAAATGGTGCATTTAGACTGGTTTTTTCCCTAGCCTGAGTGGCAAATCGGAGGAGGAGTAGACAGACATTTGGAAAAAAGTAAATTTGTAACATCCATCTGTATCTTTTTACCATCAATTCCATTTGCCACCTCCTCAATCGTAACTGCAGGCGGTGCTAAAAGCACATCCTCCAGAAGGCAGTAAAGGACCACTATGAAGTCTAGAAGTCACTGCAGTTGCCCATTTGAGGTTCACAAGATCAACACTAATGAGGAACCCATAACCACAGCGAAGGTGACAGCTGACCAGCGCAGCACAAACCAGCTTTTTGGCACTGCTGCAGGACAGCTGCAGTGCCCACGCTTTCTGATACAAGAGTGCTGCCAGCTCTAATGCAGCCAGAATGGCATTCTTACCAGTCACAACTGTCCTTACCTGAATTAAATAGCACCACTTTTTCAGAGACCTGAGAAAGAAGCTACCATTTCTCTAATAACAACTGTAAGTGGTACTGCAATGGTAGAAGTCTTACCCAAAATGGCTTGTACAAAAATAGCAGGGAGAAACCAACAGGAAACCTGTAAAAATCTCTCCAATAATAAACTAAGAGGCAAAAGCTTGAAGAAAACAGAAAGAGAAGCGACCCCAATAATTGAAAATACATGATAAAACATGGAAGTATTTCCCCCCCAGTATTCTTATGTACAGCTAGTAGAAAAGTTTTCTTTTTTCTTTTTTTTCCTGTGTTTTTTTTACAGTAAACAAACAATTTACATTGCAAATTAAAGCTGCCAAAAGTTGCATGGTTTGCTGTAAGATTAAATTCAGAATTTTTATGAGGTTTTGTTTTTCAGTTCTTGAAAATGAGGTAAAAAATTCTCATTGATATATAACAAAAGATTTTTAATTAAAGGGAAAAACAAAGCAGAGGAAAAACCTTTTCTATTTCTTTTCCTTGTAAGTATTTTAGAAGCAAGTTTTTCAAGGATTTGTGATCTAGCAGTGCTTTTTAAAGGCACTTGCATTTATTCTCCATGCATCAAACTGCTCAAAGTCAATTCCCTGAGACACTTAATCTTTTGGCAGATGGAAACTCATTTTGAAAGTGAACTAATGATCAATTAAAGCATTAGCTATTTCTGCAGACAGGAGGTTTATGGGGTCATAGTCTTCAGAAGCTGGAGGCAAGAACAGCAGCATGTTTAGCAAAATAGCTAAAACTTTCTGTAGTTACCAAAAAAAATTGGCAAAACATTGGAAAACAAAAAACATTAGTCTTTTTTTTTTCCATAATACATAGAAAACAAATGTGATGGCTTCTATTTTATGAGAGAAGCCATGGTCTAAACTGAACATCAGCAAAAGAAATAATCTAATATTTTAAATTTTCTTAATGCAGCCTAATAATTTTCCTAATACTTCCAATAAATTTGCATAATCCTTTGAAAATGGGATTCATTCCAACTCCAGTCAAAAATATATACCTTCACTGCAAATATGCAGACCCATCTTGTGGGGAGCTGCCAATGGAATCTCTGGCTCCCTGGTCATAACACGTCATTTCACACCTGCTCAAGGCCCCACCATAAGGTCTGGAGTCAAGTACTCTGCCCAGATGTTCTTATGTAATGTGACATATAAGTAGCAACACCAAATAGATGTAACTGTCACATTCATAAAAGAATCCAAGATTCTTCTCTTAGGAGTTTGACAAGCCATTTTTTCTTGAAAGAGAAGCACATATAAGTGATTAGCCATCTAATGCAAACTAAAAAGGTTGCTTTTTATGACCTGTCATATCTACTATGACCACAGATTCCTAATACTAACATTGATGAGAGAATCAATACTTACTCAATTCACTGCATAAAAATCTTCACATGCAATTTACCTTGTACAAAGGTAGAATAATAAATAGAATATATTTTCTTTCAGTGAGAGTAAAAATGCAGGAAGTTGCCTAAACATTTGTAAAAAGCTAGCCATCCTATACATTTTTAAAAAGAACATATGTAAAGATAATTGTGGGTAGGGAAGGGTATGATACTGAACAGATAAGCACATCTAGCATTGAGGAGTGTATTTTATCCTCAAAACGTTCAGCTTCTACATCAAGTATATTGGCTTGTGGAACCTTACTACATGGATTCTCCAGGTGCAAGCAAAGAAGACAGAGAATCAGCATGCCATATCATTTAGTAAGTGTTGGGAAGAGACATCTTTAAAAAGATGGTTCTGAAAGAGGCATTTCTACCTTCTATAAAAAACAAACTTCAGTAAAAGTCCAAATACTAGGCAGTGGTTCTTAGTCTGCCAGTTCATTTTTAGCTGCTGAGCTACAGCAATGTATCTGCCTTTACCTTCCACAATTAGCACATTAGCTACTCTTCCCCCACACTTTGATACAAGAGTGGAACAAACACAATGGGAGTGCAGAAGATGACAGACTATTTATGACCATTTTCAGAGCACTGAGAGGTCCTTTGCCACTCTCACACCTTTTGAAAGCAGAACTGTATTCATCAGTGCATTTGAGACTTCAAATTTACAGAGCACATTAAAGTCCTGATGGTAAATAAATTATGTAAACACTAGACAGAATTTCACACTAAACTAGCATGCCTCTTTCACCTCATAATTCAAAAGTGGTAATCCAGAACACTTTGCTTTGGCAGTAGAAAGAAGCAATAATAAGAATGGACACAACTATCTTCTTACAGCAACACAGTCTCTTTTACAGCAAAGCAGGGCAGAAATTTTAGGGCTTAGCTGAAAAATTATTAGAGGGATTGAAGCTAGGACCATGAACATAGTATGAAAGGAAAGAGCAAAGGTGTTTCTAGGGAACAGGGGAAAAAAAAAACCAAAAGTGACAGAAGAGCTACAGCTCCCTGTTCCAAATTGCATTCAAGGGCGAATTGTTACAGGATAACTGAAGAGCCAGGAACTCCAGGCATTCCAGAAAGATCAGCCTCTGAATTAC